TTAAGGGTTGACTTCCTCAAAATGAAATTGTTTGTGGATGGACAATCCAGTACTAGGAAATTCACCATAATTGTGGTTTGTTGAGGAGCTTGTTTGGTTATGACTAAGATAACAATTTCCCTTAGTAGGTAGGCCTTTTCACCTAAAAAATCGATCAACGGAACAGTGATCCATATTAGTTGTTCTCTACTTATGTTTAGTTTGTCGAAGGCGCGGGAACATATGGTTTTTGTCGAGCTTCTGCTATCAATAAGGACCCTCCTATCAAAATAATTGGCGATGGTTAGAGTCACTACCAAAGGATCATCATGAGGGTGTTGGATTCTTTGAGATCATAATTAGAGAAGGTGATCAGCTGGCTTATCCAGGGTTTCTTATTTAGGTGTATCGAGTCGATCTCATGATCGACTTTTGCCTTGTGGGCATGTGCTCTTTTGGCCAAGCTTCGTTCTCATCCTCTAGTAAATACTCTTGAGATCACCTTTACTTTACCTATCGGTTCCTAGTGCTCTGTCTCCTCCCTATGCGGCTGCATGTCCATTCTCTCATGGTGCCTTATCTTAACAATTTGAGGTGCCCTCTCTGAATGAGGTCATCTATCTAATCCTTAAGGGTCGTGTAAACTTCAGTGTTGTTCCCATAAAATCGATGAAACCTACAATGCAGGTCTCTTGACCTCCTGTTGGGGTGAATTTGCATCTTGGCCGGCCATTTCAAGACTCGATCATCTTGAATTTGATAAAGAATCTAGTCTATAGGGGTATTTTGTGGGTATATATGTGAGGGAGCTCGCCCAACCCCCTGGGGCTTGGGCAATTCCTGTAATTCACTCTCTCAGGTTGGCCTTTCTTTTGGATGGCAGCCTTGTCAGTTTGCCTAGGCAACTAGGACTTCTTCCTTTCCTCCTACCTATCGTCCTTGTTTTCAACGGGCATTGAGTGTATCTTCAACATTCATATGACTCTGCGCTCTAAAGAGTAGCTCAGTCATACTCAAAGGTGGATCCTTTGACAAAGAATAAAGGAGCTAGGAGGGCTTCAATCCACTCATACATGTGCTGAGTGCCACCCTTATTGTCCATGTTATCAATCTAGAGATACTCGATTGGGAATTTGTTGACAAAGCTTCTTAACAACTAATTCCTCCCTTGTTTCCCATTGAGAAGGTAAGTGGAAGGCTTCCAATGGGTTCTCCTCCAATAAAGTCGGAGATGAAAGAGGTGTTGAGTTATGCAAACAAACCGCTCGAATTGTTCTATTTGTTTCCCGATAAGTAATAAATATTTAATAAACTGAAAAGAAAATAGTATATACCATGTAGATACAAGTGTAGACAAAAGAAAATCAAAAGGGGATAAAGGATGGTGGTTCGTCTATATTGTTGGAAGATACACCATCCTTCTTCAAGAGGAAGTTGAACCAATGAATACAATAACAAGTGCAATGAAAGAAAGTTAGTAGATAGAAATACAAAACATTAGACAATATAGATCCATCATCACTAGAACTTGTTAGGATCGATCCTAGTAAATTGGCATTTATTGATTCCAATCAAGCTTATTTTAGAGTCACATTATCGAGTTGAATTGTTATCACGTCAATATTAACTTATAATATGATACGTCTCAGGAAAAAGAGAGTATGACTTGCTTTTTTAAGCAAATACTTGAAATTCTCTCGCCAAAAAAAAAAAAGAAAAATGGAACAACCATAGTGTATGAAAATGAGCCCCCTTAGGACCATTAAGGTTTGGTCGACCCCCTCAGCGTGTAGAAAGTAAGTTGCCTTACTTTCAAATTTTATTGATATCGATGTACCCAGGGATGACTCGAGACATTTTAGGGCCTAAAGCAAAAACAATAAGGGGTTTAAAGAGGCTGGTACCTCCTAAATAATTTAATAGGATAAAAGTACATTTTTTAAAATAATTGGGATAGAAGTACATGTGCTAAAAAAAAGTCATAAAAGCCATTTTACCCCTACCATAAATAATGTATATCTAATTGAATAAAAGACTTTCAATATTAGAATGTGAGACTTTCAAGATTCCTTTTGATATTTGTGTATCATTTGAATTTTAAAATTTCATAGATATAAACACACACACGTAAATACATTGACATCAAACAGTGACACACTCAATAAAAAAAGAGTAACATCAAACAGTGACACGATCAACAAAAAAAAAAATAACATCAAACAGTCACACTCAACAAAAAAATAGTAATATCAAACAGTATCACAAATATTTTTGTTGAGCATGTCACTATTTGATGTCACTGTATTTACGTGTGTGTATGTGTGTGTGTGTGTATATATATGTGTGTGTGTGTGTGCATATATATATATATATATATATATATATATATATATATATATATATGAAATTTCAAAATTCAAATAATACACAAATATTAAAAATAATCTTGAAAATCTCACATTCAAGTCGGTATGCACTATTTATGGTTAGGGCAATTATGGAATATATTTTAAAAAATAATTTTAAAATATTTTAAAATGTGTACTTATTGACAACTATTTGATGAAAATGAGGACTTAAAAGAGGATAAGTTTGGAGATGATACTTAAAGCCAAATAAGTTTTAAAAAAGGTACTCACATCTCATTATCTCAAACAATAAATGAGGCTTTTTTATTTTTAATATTAACAATAAATTTAATTTTTAATTTTTTAAATGCAAAAATATTAATTAAATTTTTATATTGAAATTTTTGTTATCATATTTGAACTTGATGGTAAGAAAGAGAAAAAATTACTGAAAAATTATTGTGGTAAATTTAAACTTAACTTTTTTGGGGGTTAAGACTAGATTTTTAGTAGTTTTAATTTTATTGTTAGTTTTTTTTCCCTTTTTTAAAAAATAAATAAATTTTTGGGCCTCTTAAATTTTGGGTAGAATTAATAGGTTCAATCTACTTAAGTTGAAATCTTTTGTTTGGGCATGAATTTAAAATTTTTTGTTTGAACTATTACTCCACGCCTATAAATTATAAAGCATTCCTTGAAGTGAGGCCTTAATTTTTTTTTTGCTTTTGATTGGGATTGTGTTTTTATAAATTTTTTTATATGATTTAAAATATTTATGCATTTAATTTTTTTTACATGAACTATTTATGATATCTAAAAATGTAAAATTTTCTCAAAAAGTGAGGTCTAAAATCTAAGGTTTTTTTAACAACACTGTTGAGCCGCCCTAAATGTACCATGGCCTCTCGGATGGTGAGGGTGGTAGTTATCAAATTCTTGATCATGACATTATTCCCTTCTAGACTAGGATTGTGTTCAAATACACAAACATGGTGGGTTGCGGTCTATGATGTATTTGGAGCACATGCTTGTTGCTTTAATAGAAAAAGGCCCTACATATCACTCTTTGTTGTGAAGTTGTCGCTCATTGGCCGGCCAGATGGATAGGAGAGGCCAAGGAACTTTTTTCTTTGTTGTGTAGAATAGTATGACTCATAAGACTGTGGGCCTATCCTGTATTGTATAACCAAATTTTTCATCAATGAAACTATTTTCACATAAAATTGGAGGCTAATCCAATATGGGAGATTTTTAAGGATTTAAGTACAAGTCTTAAACTTATTTGACTTTAAGTATACCCTGCTGACAACTTTTATGCGTTTAAGTACACTTTTGCTTTTTTTATTACTCTTTTATCCTTCTTCATTACGTGAAGTTTATGAATCGTATTGAAACCCTAGGACATCACCGGAATGTTAGCCCTCTCCATTTCATCAATCAAAAAGTCATACCGAGAATGTTAAGACAATCACCCAATCAAATCATTTAACTTTCAAGCATAAATTTACATCGTTGTGCAGAAATATAAAGCTAATGAACAATGAGACACAACTGAACAATATGATCAAGGCTACACCACTCATACCAATATCATGATCATACAGATAAGGTATCCAACAAGGAATAAGAGAATTTTGATCAGAATTTTGAAGCACTCGTTTTGATCCAAATTTTTTAATATTCTCAAGTTGCGTTCTGAATAAATAATTTTTTGAATGGTGGTTTGAATCAATTCTTGCTGGTTTCTATTGTATTTATTTGTGGCATTTCATGTTGCAGATTGGTTCAAATTTAAAGGTTTATTTTAGTTTAATAATAGCTTTAATTATTCGACGAAGTGCCAAAATGAGCTTACACGGCTTTTCTAACAAATGGACAGAGAAACCATTGGAATCTGGAGAGAGAACATGAAAGTGAGAGAGAGAGAGAGAGAGAGAGAAAATAGTGAAACACACATATAATAGATCAATTAGTAACACTCAAATTACGTAACATTCACAAATTAACAACAATTGATTTTACAAGTAATCATTTTTTTTATAACGATTCTGCTGACGTTACTATTTATGTCCCTATTTATGTTTTATGTTGTTGTCTTTTGTTTTAAAAGTTACTATTTTTATTACCATTGTTTTCATGTAACTGTTTTATGTTGCTATTATGTCCAACTTTATTGTTTTTTATTTTAAATGTTACAATTTTTGTTACGTATCAAATCGAATTTCAATAAAATTACTTGTATTACGTTTCTTTTGAGGGAAAGAATGAGTTTGGGGCATTTTGGACAATTGTTACACAAATTTCTCCAAAACCAACACAATTTTGAGAATGGACAAAAAGCCGAATTAGTCCTAAAATATGGAACAGCCTCCAAATTTCTCCTATTTTTATTCTTTCCTTATAAAATGATAGGAAGATCCAAAATTGACCTCCGTTATTCATATGAAAACCATGCATGCAAGTAATAAAGGATGAGCTAAGAATTTATACATATTCTTTCACTCTTTATTTTGCTAGTAGACATTACATTTTCTGAACCTTTTCAGCTTACATTATTTTGTATCCCTTGCTTTCGCAAATGGATAGACGAACCCTTTAAGCCTAAATATATCAAGCCTTGTTTGTTACATTTAGGAGCTATTTTAAAGGTTTTGTTTTTTCCATCAACTCAGTTTAAGCACACCCACCTAGGCCAAACCCTAGTTTCCCTCCGGCTACATCGTACACCACGTCCAACGTCCCCTGCTGAACATTCCCGAAAATGCCCACATCAGAGGCATTACTGTTTCCGGCGAAAGCCAAGCAGAACTGCGATGCACTCGACCCAGCAAGAATCCCCGACGCATCTATGTCAATATATACATTGCCATTGAAGAAGAAGCCTATCGTTGGAATCGTCACAGTTGAATAACTGCTCAAGTCATAGCAAGTATCTAGTACCGAAGTGGGTTGTGCCATTGGGTATTGTGTCATCTGTCGCCGAAAAGTTGTTCTCAAGGCTTTGTAAGCCGCCGGAGGTAGACGAGTTATGACTGTTCCGGAGTCTATAATGGTTCCAGCGGTCTTGAACACTGATGAACTGATCGATAATTGACGTCCACCGACACTTATTCCTGTAATATCAATGAAGTAAAATGATGTGCCTTGTGAGTTTATTGACAGTGGTATGAATATCACGGTGCTCGAAACTCCATTCTTTCCAAACGTTAAGTGTCCGGTGGAGCTTGACGACGATGGAAGACAGTAGGAGAAGTACTTGCCATACTTTTGAGCAGTTTGTGATACAATGGATAGTTTTCCCCTACCAAGACCAAGCAAGCCGGCGGAACCGCGGAAAAGGCCGCGGTTGTTTTGGCCACAACCGAATAGGAAGCTATTAAACACGTCGTTGGACGTTAAGGTGAGCTTCTCTTGTCCGAAGTACCCGATGGAGAATGACTTATCGCCGTACTGTGTGGCATAAATGCAGGTGGAGGTGGAGCAACCGGGTGAGATGCCGGGGGCGGACCTGAGTTGGGAACACAGCGCCGACTTACAGGTGATGTTGGAATATGTGGTGGACTTTGATGGGTCAAAAATGGGTTCTTCTTGTTTATAGCAGTGCCCGGAAGATTTTGTACACTTTTATTTAAATTCCAATCATCGAACATGTAAAACTGCTTAAATAATAAATACTGTTCTAAAGAATATTTACCCTACACATGGTTGGCACTGAGTCCAGGTGAGATCACTACCAGTGTCGAAGATGAGGGACAAGTCTTTCTTTGGGGACCCCAGTCCAACGGTAACGATGTAGTTGGGGGACCCGAGTACGCTGCCGGATTGTGATGGGAGAGTGGCTTTTGAGTGTCGGAGATTAATTTTGCCCGAGTTGAGGGTGAGTTGGGCATGAATTGAGTTGACTCGAGATTGATCATCAGAAAGAATCTGAGTGAGAGTTGGAGTATTGGCCTTATCTTGATTTAGTTGCGAACATGGACCATGTCTGTGAACAACTTTAAGTGATGACTTCTTCTTGGGACCTGATCAATAATAGATGACTAAGTATATATATGATAAACCATTCATATGGTAGGAATTCAATAACAATCTGAAATGTTAAAAAAAAAGATAACCACTAGCCCCACTTCCATTAAAAGGCGTTTCACTACTTCTTCAAATTCCTATATACACAGTTTACTCTATTTCTGGTTAGTTTTTTTTAATAATTATTGTTTAAATTAGGTATTTTTGTATTCATAAAATTTATAACTAAAAATGAAATGAGGCAAGTACAAAATTTCGTGCATAAGCATGGGGTCACATCAAGGATAAAATTGCTAGGACAAATTTACTTTATATGCGTCTTTAAACTTAATTTTAAGAAGATAAAATTATATTTTTTAAATTTTTTTATTGAATATTATATTTTAAATGATATGACAAAATCTTATATATTTAATGTATGATGAAATTTAATAGACCCTACTAATTTAACCACAAATAATAATTTAGAATATAAAATTTAATAAATAATTTGATAATCATAATATTGTTATTTTCAAATCGTCTTGAGTGGCACATATGACTTCAGTGGAGTTATGCTGGCTAAAAGCATGACTTTTCCTTAAAGTATTATGACACACGCATGACTTCATCCTCAATATTGTGGAATTAATTAATCAATTATCATTGTTTTCAAATTTATTTATTAAAATATCTTAGTTTGAAACGTATCTATCAAACTATTGTTGTTTTATAAATAAAAAAAAAAAGTATGTTTTGCAACACTTTTAAAAAAAAAAAAAATCACTGAAAACGTGTTTTCAAAACACTCTTTTGCATTGAAAAGTGTATTTTTAAAACACATTTTTTTGTAAAAGCAATGACAATTTGGTAAATAAATTTAAAATTATTGTGGATAAATAAATCTCAAAAGGAAATATTTTTTGTACCTTAATTTATTGACTTTATCTTATCTGGTGACATGTGTCTTATTTAGTCCTTAATTTTAAAAAAATGGTTAAACCCTCAAGCCACCAGTGCATTTCATTCAATCCTGAAATCGATTGTTAATCTGAAGGAACCATATATTAGATTATCAAATTAACTCCCTAGTTTACATGGGACAGTAAAATGCAAGTACTAACATAAGAGTTGTTCCCACAAGCTACATCCTAACTTTTATCTGGAAGGGGTTTTTTATACAACCGTGTATCAAGTGTATTCCTCACAATAAGAGCAATAGGTTTGCCAAGGAAAGAGGGATAGGAGCCGGTAAACAGCATTTAGAGATCACGTTTAAGTATTCTAAGAAGCATATGTCCCAGTTTTATCACAAACACAAGATTCAAACACATGATCTATTAGTGAGATTCATGATCTAACTTATAGCGGTCAAAGGGATGTGTTTGCATAAGCAGATTTTACTTGGATTGCCATCTGTTTGATAAGACCCTTGTAAAGAATCATAGATAAGAAACCAAACAGACAACTTAGATTATTTCAAGAAAGTACTGCTAAAGTTTTCTATTGAAAGTTGTATTTTATATCAATTTGAAATTAAACGTTACTTATGTGATAAAGATAGTAACATAGGATCCAAAGAAATCTATTTTCTGGTCGGTATAAGTAGAGATGATGAGTATGAATGATATTTATCTTCAGAGTATATGATAAGATCTATCAATATCCCACTAGGTTAGGATTGATAATTTATTTTATATTGTTGAATTTTACTTTTATGGGAATCCCACATCTAATCTATATCTATATCTAAATTTATATTTATATCTATACTACTATAAAATGTCAACAAAAGTGAAAAACTTTTATTTAACCATAATACCACTATAAAAATAATTAAAGTCAACTATATCATTATGTATTTAATTACATAATATTAATTAAATATCTAAATAAGCCGTTAGACACAATTAGAGAATGCTAATGGGATATGACTCTTCAAGGAGTTCCTTATCACCCAAAGGATGTGTCTATTAAATTACTAATAGACATGTCCCTCTCCAAGGCACCTATTGATTGTCTATATATACTTTAAGGCAACCAATAGTCATATTAGATAATTCTAAATGTTTAAAGTTCCCTACTCTCTTTCTCTCTCCTTACATAACTTTGAACAAAAAATTTTATGTTGCAAAAGCATGGTGTTGATTTGTCTCATATAACAACATCATGCTACTCGAGCAATCAAATAAAAGACGATTTTTGGATTCAAAGAACGTAGAATATAATTCAATAATTACGGATTAAAGCGAATTAAGATATATTTTTAATCTTACATTTCCCCAACATGTATATGATTTCCAACAAATGTATTTAACTTTATTCACCCTATAAATAGGATTAGTCTTATGCAAATAACCATCATAAAAATATACATCCATGTAGCCTTTGGGGGATTTGATCTGTGGATTTAAGCATAATATGTCGAACCACATAAATGCTTGTGCTCCATTTTCCTTTCTTTTTCTTATTTTCAATAAATCTCTCATATTACAAACTTCTTCACCATATTTACTGAGAGTCCAATTTCTTCATTATTTCGCTACTTCCATATTAAAACAATTCCTTATCAAAACAATTATTTTGTCAATTGCCATTTGGATTTTTGTTGTGACCATTACAGAAAGGATGCAAGATCCTGAATCAGACTAATCGGACTTAGATTTAACGAGATCGAACTCATCGTCAAGCCTATTCAAGAGTATTGGCCATCTAAGCTAACTCGGTGTTGTTAACGGGGATGTGTTCGTAGAAAATATTTTACTTGGATAACTATGAGTTTGTATAGAATTTATTATCTTTCAAGAAACATAGGCTAATAGTAAAGATCACATACAAGAAATCGAACATACAACTTATAATCGTATAAGAAAATTTTGCCCAATTTTCTCCTGATAGTTTTATTCATTCGCAAATGAAAGGTGTAGCGTTACTTTTCTATTGAAAGTTTAGTGTTAGAACAATTACATATGAAGAAATTTGCAGATTTTTTTTTTTTTTTGTCTTTCCAAGTAGGAGGTCCAGGCCTCTTAGAGAACCCTCGTCATCTTCTTGGTTCAAATACATATCATCCCAAGTTCTACATGCATCATGTAATTATCAGAATAAACCAATCATCCCGTGGAACTAAAGCAATACAACAAAAAATTGAAGCTAAATTAGAAGATGTTCATAAGTGTTATGAACCATGTAGTCTATGTAGAGTTTATAAGGTGCGTATTTTTGACTTTGCCATTTCTCCATTTTTATACCCCATCACCTAGACCATTAGTTCCATCAACAGATAAACCTTCAGTAGGCAAAAAATTAATTAAAAGGAGGATCATGCAGTAATACTAGAGATGCATGCTCTTATATTTTGAGGGATTAGAGATGCTTGAACCGGTGTATCTAAATGGGTTTAGAGTACTTGAAACACTATTTTCAATTTTTTTAGAGTTGATGTCTCTATTCTGAATTTGTAGAGTCTTTAGTGTAAAGCTGCCAAATTGTAGGTGTGCTTAACGGTCGCACAACTCATTAGTCTGAATGAATTGATGTTGATGTGTATAATGGATTGAGAGAGATGACAATGTCATATCCATCACGTGCGAGTTGGAGATGTTAGATATTATTTAGGTCATGGACCCGAACGGGGGCGTCCATAGTGGGTTGACCCAAATTAAAGAATGTCCAAAGAGGCATGTATTTTGGAGGTATCCTTTATCCAAAATATATGTATGTTAAATATTAACAGATGTGTCCATACAAGATGTGTCTGTTAAAGACACCTATTGGTTGCCTATATAAACCCAAGATAATCTAATAGATGACATCTCTTAAAAATACTTAAACGTTAAAGTCTTCTACTCTATTTCTCTCTCTCCCTACATAACGTTCAAGGCTTTTGTGTTGTAAAAACTTGGTCTTGATTCCTATTGTGTAATAACATTATACCTGCTCGAGCAATCAAAGAAAAAAAAATTTCAAATTCTAAAACATGTGGAATATCCTCAAATGATTTTTAGGATTAAAACGAACAAAATATGTTTTTGGTCCTATGTTTCCACAATATGTAAACGATTCCCAACACTCCACAGAAGATAAGTTGGATTAGGAGTCTTGTTGTTGGTAAGAGGTGGAGGTGCTTTGGTCTCTCTTGTAACAAAACCTTGAAGGTCATAACTTTCAAGGATATTCAAAATTTGGGTTTTCCACAACAAATAGTTGCTGGATGTAATACGCAATGACACAAGTTAGTGACATCTGGTGTCACTGGTAATGGTATGCAACAGAATCAGCAGAAACAGATGAAGAATCAGAGGTGGTTGACATATTTCAGAGCAGATGAAGAATCAAAGTTGAAGGGATGCTTAAGGGTAGAATTCTGCTATCTTAACCGAGGCTATGATACCATGAAGAAGACTATGTATGTCTCTGTCCTCAAATATATGAGAGACAGTTATCTGTGGCATTATATTTATAGTGCATATTACAATGGTATTTACAAGAATAATTACAACATCTCTTATGTCCTATAATCAAGGCCTATGATCAAGGTTACATGTTCTACGATCAAGGTCGGTAATTAAAGCAGTGGATTCTCCTGTAAATTGATTTTGTCTTGATCCTTATTAATGGGTATATGCAATGATGGAGCATGGGGATACAGGATGGACTACGAAAAAGATTTGAAAAACTCATCTTATTATAACAATGTTCACTACAAAAATACTCCAATTTTATAGGCTCCTCTCTAAATTATTTCAATAATCATTGCCCATAAACTTCTATTCCAATCTAAGTTAAAAGATTGCTCCTTGTCTGTCGAATTACTGACTCGTACGTCTTGCAAATAAAGTCTTTATCTCATTATTTTTATCCAAAAATTTGTCACGGTACCAAAAATTAATCATTGAAGAGTCTTTCCCTCCAACATGAGAGCAAGGTCAAAATCTTCAATCTCAATTATCCGAAAGAAAAGCATGCTAGTAATAAAAGTTGAGTATATTCTTGCAAACTTTCTTTTGCTAGTATACATGACCACTGAATGAACTTTTTCAGCTTACATTATTTTCCATACCCTGCTTTTGTAAATGGTATGGATACACAACCCCATTGACCCTAATCAAGCCCGGTTACCCCTGAGATCTATTTTTAAAGTTTTTCCATTTCCATTAGCTCAGTTTAATCACACCCACCAGGACCAAACCCTAGCTTCCCTCCAGCGACATCGTAAACCACGTCCAACGTCTTCTGCTGAACATTCCCGAAAATACCCACATCGGCGGCGTCACTGTTTCCGGCGAAAGGCAAGCAGATCTGCGACGCACTCACCACATAAAGTGTCCCCGACAAGTCGATGTCAGTCTTCAGATTGCCACTAAAGAAGAAGCTTATCTTTGGTATCGTAACTGTGGAGTAGTTGCTTAAATCATAGCAAGTATCGAGTATCGAAACGGGTTGTGCCATTGGGTACTTTGTCATCTGTTGCCTGAAAGTTGTTCTCAAAGCTTTGTAAGCCGCTGGAGGTAGCCGAGTTATGACTGTTCCAGAGTCTATAATGGTGCCGGCGGTCTTGAACACCGACGAACTGATGGATAGTTGACGCCCTCCAACACTGATTCCTGTAATATCGATAAAGTAAAATGATGGGCCTTGTGAGTTTACTGACAGTGGTGTGAATTTCACGGTGCTCGGAACTCCATTTTTCCCGAATGTTAAGTGTCCGGTAGAGCTCGTCTTCGATGGAAGACAGTATGAGAAGTATTTTCCATACGTTTTAGCAGTTTGTGAGACAATGGATAGTTGGTCACGGCCTAGCCCGAGCAAACCGGCGGTGCCTCCGAAGAGTCCGCGGTTGTTTTGGCCACAACCGAACTGGAAGTTATCAAATACGTCGGTGGACGTTAAGGTGAGTTTCTCTTGCCCGAAGTACCCGACGGAGAAAGACGAATCTCCGTACTGTATGCCGTAAATGCAGGTGGAGGTGGAGCACCCCGGCGAGTTGCCGGTGGCGGAACTGAGTTGGGAACACGATGCCGAGTTACAGCTGATGTTTGAATATGTGGTGGACTTCGATGGATCAAAAGTGGGTTCTCGCTGTTTGTAGCAGTACCTGAAAAAATTTGTACAATTTTATAATAATTTCGATAATTGAATTTGATTGAATAGTGTCGATACAAGGAATATAATTCCACGTCATAACGGGGTGACTCACCCACTACAATTAGAATAGGACTGTAATTCTTAATCAAAGATAATTATGTACTAGAGTAGTTTACTTTACACATGGCTGGCACTGAGTCCATGTGAGGTCGCTGCCGGTATCGAAGATGAGGGAGAGGTCTCTCTTTGGGGACCCTAGTCCGACAGTGACGATGTAGTTGCCGGAGCCCAGCATGCTGCCGGATTGTGCTGGGATGGTGGCTTGGGAGTCCTGGAGACTGGTTTTGCCCGAGTTGAAGGCGAGTCGGGAGTGAATTGAGTTGACTCGAGACTGGTCATGATAAAGGATCTGAGTGAGAGTTGGAGTATTGGCCTTGTCTTGACTCAGTTGAGAGCATGGTCCATTTCTGTGAACAACTTTCAGTGATGACTTCTTGTTGGAACCTGATGAACGTATGGATAATCATGTAATTAAATATGATAACACGTTCATATAGTAGCAATTCAAAATGCCATATTGGGATGGGAAGATATATCCTCTAATTTATTTGATTATGCCTATAAAAGAGAGCTTATATATCCACATGTCAAACAATGAGGCGTCTCATATTCAAGTTTGAGTTAAGGATTAATCAACTCTAATTCCCGCTAATTTCTCATCATATAATTGTGCTCGTGTCAAAAATTGACAGGTTTCTAATTGATGTCAGTTGGAATTCATGAACCCAGATGCTGAAGCCATGCAAACATATATAAGCATGTACAATTTGTTATTATTCACTCCATGGGGGGAATGCAGAACTATCTTCATTCAATAGGATTATTCATCGAGCAAATAGACTGTATTGATAGAGAACTTGATTCAATAACTGTACGTACTTTTAATCTAAAAGTTACAATTCATTAAATTCTCAAATTTTCAATTTCTTCAATTTCAATAGGCAGCTGATCAGTAACTTGTAAAATTTTTGAAATCTTTGTAATGAATAATGACAAGCCATTAGTTTTTCGTTGCCGTTCTTTTTGTGATACAGTTCGCTTCATGCCCTACACAGCTGTAATGCACTCGATAATGTTTGAAAGACTTTGGACAACACTCTAGATATTGCATATGAGAGAGGCAAAGAAAACAAGTAGTTGGTGCTCCACCATGTCATGTATGGTGGAGAGTTGTTCCCTCACCGAGTGGTTTCCTTGTCTCTCTCCAATTTTTGTTTAGGGTCCACAAGTTACTTCCCACTTTTTTTTGTTTGAAAACGATTTATAATATAAAATAAGATAGACGATTTCAAATAAACTTCTCTAATGGTCATTAACATCCCTATCAAAATCGTTCATATTACACCGTATCTTTAAACACAAATCAGATCTAATTGTTTTATATGCGACGATGTATCAAGTTTGGAAAGAGGATTAGATGGCCCAAGCTTGTATAGGTTCTATAACATAGGCAAAGCTCTAACTCATGAGCTGTTAGTGGGATTCAGGAGTCATGGGCATCAACCTACCATAATATATATTATATCTATATGGAAAGTCTTTATTATTTCTTCACCTCCATATTAAAACGACCCCTCACCAAAACCATTATTGGGTCAAAGAATGCAATTAAGATTCTGAATGAGAGTCATCGGACTCGGACTCTTGGGAGCTTTCTTTATTATTTCCCCTCTTCCATTTTAGAATTATGGCACAATTTGATGAAGAAATATGCAGTAATCCAATCCAATTAATTTATTTTTTCTAATTTGGAGGTATCCGAGCCTCTCAGAACACCTGTCTCATCCTCTTATTATGTGTACATACCATCTTCTTTCCACATGCATCATGTAATTATCAAGATAAAACAGTCATCTTATTGTACTACATAGATACAACAATGGTTGTAGTTAAATTAGGACTATATAAGATGTTCATGCGTGATATGACCCGTAAAGAGTCGTACAAGGGGCATATTTTAAGGTTGCAATTTCTCCAATTAATATCCTACAATACCTAGACCATTACTTCCATATCAATGGAGGATCAAGCCATACCAGGGCAGTTTAGTTACTCTTTACAGTAAATACTCAATCTAATTAGCCTAGTCTACATGTTGTGCTGAAAAAGCAATGAAGGTGACAAAAACTACTTCACGGTTCCGGTGGTCATAGCCTTGTGGGACCTTTTGTATGTCCAATTAGGTCTGACACTTTTAGAAACAGTTGGTAAATAAAACACAAGATCCGCGTAGAATTGGTAGATTTGAGTTTAGTATTAATGGGCTCAGGAGGTAAATAAATGGATCAGTCAAACTTTAGTCAAATACAAATTTGATTAAACACAATACAAATTATGTTATATTCATGTAAGTTATTAGATTAGATATGTTTAAACAAGTATGATATGAGAGACACAACACAAACTCGACCAAACACATTGAAAGCAATGATGAGTTTAGGACAGAAACAAAAGATGATAAAGTGGGCATACAAGCCCTTTTTCCACTTAAGCTCGCAATTTCTAAGAAAGGTAACCATGAATGAGCCTTACTTAGAATTGTAGGCATGCGTATGAATGTATTGTCTTTTTCCTGAAAATGCTTGCGCGCATGCATTTGTGGTAACAGTAATGCTACACTGACATAACAAGAAGGAGAGAGAGATACACACACAAAAAGAGAGAGAGTGAGAGAGAGAGAGAGAGAGAGAGAGAGAGAGAGCAAAGCTATGTGAATGACCTTTGGTGGTGGGGTTGCAAAGTGAAGCTGGCAGTAGAGAACTGACTTGAACAGTATGGTGACGGCTTTCTGAAGTCTCTATCCTTTTCAAAGCATAACCCTTTTTTAAAGAACTGGGAAGCAGTAAGAGAAAAAGAGAAGCAGAAAGAAGAAACCTAACGGGGATGAAGCCAGTTGGAGAGGCCATCAACCTAATAATGTATTCCTGATAAACACTCTGAGTTGGCTCTTATATATAACCACAATCAACAGATACAATGGATTTTCAACTTTCCACGTCACCCACTAAGACAACCCTACTATATTGAGACTAAACTGTCTATAATTATGGTCCACACTGGTAGCGTTGAATTGGCAAATCTACACCACGCACATAACCCTAATCAGGATATCCTAACTTTGACATGCACATACAACCACATATATCTAGGCATGCGTATGAATGTATGGTCTTTTTCCTGAAAATGCATACGCATGTATTTGTGGTAATTATAATATATATTACATATCAAGAAGGAGAGAGAGAGAGACACACACACAAAGACAAGAGAGAGAGAGAATCGCAAAAATAACACGAAATCAAGGCAAAAAAAGCTACCGGATATGAGCTTAGCATAACTGAATCAGATAATAACTGAATTAAACTGCAACAATCATCTAATTTAGGAATATCATATTAATAATACACGACTAATGCTTGATGTAACACGAACCTAATATACATTGTTATAAAAGGAATATATGTGATATGAATCAATTTTAACATTATATGACTTAAACATGACATGATTTATTGACATCTCCTGCCCTGCAATTTTATATTCGAATTTCTAAATCGCACCAAAGTAGCTATTTCCCCTGGGCTGAATATATAGTTATACACGAAAAAAAAAAAAGGGTTATTTGGATTTCTTTCGTATGGTAAACAGCAAAGTACTGGAAACTAAAAAAAAAAGGTTCCATGGACAGAACTTTACATGCAAGATGAACTTATTATACATCACCCAATAAATGTTGATTAGCTTGATTGATGTTGGAATGAGGTCTGTTGGTGGTAATGAGTGGGGTCTATTGGCAATCAATGATAGAATTACCTACAGAAAATGTTGTTATGGAAAGATTTTTTTTACGAGTCCTAGATGTAAGATGAAGGGCATCTAGATTACTGTCTCATTTTGATGAAGTGAACTTCAATGCTAATTGTACAGTTTGATAACACTTTCTTCAAGAAATTTTTAATCAAAAAAGTTGGTAGGAGAGAGGTTGAAACTAATTAAGGTGTCTTTTAGTCCAATTGGTGGAAGTCTCTATTCAGTGGTCATGGTGTTCTACTCGAATTCCATCTTGTTTCTTCTTCCTTTTGTCTTTATTTTTCCTCTATAAAAGGAAAAATAAATTATTTTGGGTTTTACTTTAGAAAAGAAAAAATATGTATGTTTATTTTGCTCCAATCCATCAGATCATTTTCATTGACAAACGCGTGATTGTATTGGATTAATTACTTTGATAGTATTTTGATTGTTTAGTTAATTAACTTTTGCATTAACACGGATTTCTTTTTTAAGGTTCCACCAATAGAAGCTTCTTAATTCAGTGTTGAAGACCTAAAAATCAGACAAATGCAAAATTCGGTCTTATGGAATTTGGTGATAATCCACCGAGAAAAGTGCTGTCTTCCACCGACGAAAATGCACATCTGTACTATTTTATTGACTTATCAAATTGCCAACAACCCATAAACAAACAGCATGTATTAGTGTGGCTGCTTGACCTTTAGAGGCCAAAACAATGATGTGAAGAACAAAAGAAAATCCATCAATACAGATTAAGGGAGAAGAAGATGTCTCTTGGTCTCCCAACAGTGTTCGTTTTTCTAATTTTTACCACGCACTTATCTTTTTTCTAGAACTTTTCTCTCACATCCCACGCGATGATTAAAATCAGACTAATGTTGGACTGACTAAACAATATTTTAATTTGGCACTTGATTTTTATACCAAAAGTTTACAACTCATTTTAAATATTGAGAAAGCAAAATTAAAAGCTTTTTTAAAATTGTAAAGAAAATTTCAGTCACACCTTTTCTACTTTACTATATCTTTTAGGACACCCCTTCTATTATTAAAAATATCATTGATACCCTTCTAGTTTATATTTAAACATCACTGACACTCTTTGTTATTAAACCATCATTTCTAACAAAAAAAAAAATCATCTAAAATATCAAAAATACCCTTATATAAACCTCAAACAATTTTTTTTTACATGAAATTCAATTAAAATTCATATTGATTAATATTTATTTTTTTACACATTAAAATTCGAGTTGATTAAAATTTATTTTTTTACATATTAAAATCTGATCTGATTAAAATTTAATTCAAGTTGATTAAATTTTTTTAACATATTAAAATTCAAGCCTATTAAAATTCTTTTTTTAAGTACTAAAATTTGAGTCGATTTGAGCTCTACCCGAAGTGCCAATTAAAATTTGTATTTTTTTTATATATTAAATTTAATATTTTTTATATATTAAAATTCAATTCAAGTTGATTAAAATTTGATTTGACCTGATTGATTTTTAATAGGCTCAAATCTTAATGCATAAAAAATATAATTTTTAATTAACTCGAATTTTAATACATAAAAAATAAATTTTAATTAGTTCGAATTGAATTTTAATCGACCTAAATTTTAATACGTAAAAAAATTTAGAAAATAAAGAGAGTCTTATTGAAGATATATTTATTTAGAAGGGATATGAATGAAGTTTGTTCTTAAATATATTATAGGCAATTTATTAAAATTGTATTATAGTTAATATTTTTAATATGACAAGAGGTGTCAAGGAAGATATAGAAAATAGAGAACGTGTTCTTAAAAATATAATAAATTAGAAGGGTGTAATTAAAATTTTTCCAAAAATTTAACATTGGCCGTTCAAGTTGGTCCCTTTTTTTTGGTCGCCTAGCATTACTGTTGGTAGCATGGTGTCGGCTAGCAACACGAATCTTTTGTTTTCACATCTATTTTTATTATTTCATTCAAAGTTATTTTCTGCATACTTCCATAAACATGTGTGACCGTGTCTGGCCTCAATTTCCTCCACACGTGTCGTATCCCAACTCAATTGCATGTTAACTCCATGCACCACATAGCTCCATTAGCCTTCCCATAACAATTCTAGAGTCCAACCATGACAAATAATTGCGGTTCGCAAAAAACCACCCAAATGGAGAATTATTAGTTGTGAAAGTGCCATTAGACCAACCAAAGCAATAATTAATTGGAGATTGGAACCCACAACAAGCTATTGCACGGAGTTAACCCTGAAATTAGGTAAACCTATGTGGTCTGTTTATTTTCCTAGACACGTGTAAGCACTCGACCCAAGCTATATGTAAATTGCATAAAACCACCGGTCAATTTTTCATTATCTATTTTCACTTGTAAAAAATTCTATAGCCAGCAAGCTTAACTACAGTTTGGGCAAAGTGGTAGGGTCTTTAATGCTCTCATTCTCAGTTCCCCTAGTGCTTGGAATCTTATATTGCTATGACCCATTATGCACAAATGGAAAAGGTTTGGTATATGAGGGAGGGAGCTGGAATCTATGATGAAGAGATTCATGTTTGATTGAGGGCTACACTACACACTAGTGGGTACTCGAAGAGATTTGGAATCTGCTTACATGTTTATGGAGGAGAGAGAGTAGGGATGTCAACGGATTTGATTTTTATCTGAATTGATCCAAATACAAGTTTGATTAGTCAGATATAGATCAATAATTTTAACTAATAATCTAAATTAGATTCTGAATCCGTTTTATTATAATTCGTGAATTGACATTTGAATATACTAATACCTAATCTGATAAAATGGGAGAGTTATTTTTTGTTTTCTTTGGTTGGGTCCTTTTCCTCTTCCCATTTCACCCACCTTTCAAATAGAAAAAGATGTAAGAAAGGAAAGAAGGTAGGTAGAAGTTCAAATCAATTGACATTACTTATTTGCAAAAACTAGCAATCACCAATTAAGTTAATGTGCTCCACAAAAGTATATCACTCTCTTTACTTTAAGCAACTATATAAATCATCCCGATGTAACCACATTTCATACCCTAACTTTAAATTATACTTAAAATATGCTTGTCTGAAAATAATGCTTGTTACTAGAATAACATTTTTGTTAAGACATTCATATAAATACAGATAAATTTGATGATGGATGGTGGTGGATAAGCCATAGACAATCAAATGACTTAAAAAATCTGTCTTATTATAAAATTGTTGCTCATTCTTAGATTCTTTCAATAATTCAAATGATCTTCCCTCATATATTTCCGTTCTAGACTAACTTAACGGATTTGTCCTTGTCTAACATCGTGGCAAATCATACGTCTAATCTTTCATGCATGATTTGCTAATGTAGTGTACTAAGGGCCATCAACTTGTAGTATGCTACTTCCATGTTGAAGTCCTTACTTGTTCTTGCATTCCCAAGTCACATTCCTTGTGAGTTGATTGGCACCAATGTTTCAAAGTTTGCAGTTAGACTAACATATGAGTGATTGTTTTCGTACTTTTTCTTTTTAAGTGTTATTCAAATTGGTCTTTGTTTACACGAGAGAAAAGGATGGTTTGGATACAAAAAAGGATTTCGAAGACCCACCAAAACATCAAAACTATAATCTTTTAGAAAATGAGTTCCTCTTTGAAAAGTGAATAATTACATGGATAAACTCACACTAACCGATCAACTAGAAGTTCAATTGAAATTTTTGGTATTGGGAAGGTATAACCTTCTACATTATTCAAATAAAATGGCTACCCCCATATACTAATTAACAGCATAACTGCTTTAACTAGCATAGTCCTAAAAACAAGAAATTTGAGATGTTCAAGCAAAGGCAAACACTTTGCTATTGTGTTTGAGCATCGAGCAAGACTGCCAACACTTTGCTTCACTTAGCTATTATTGGGAATAGCTAGATTGAGGTCTAAAAACAAAATCAAATTAGTTGGAGTTTTTGAGTTGCTGGCAATAATTTGAAAGTGACATCATACATATGGTTAGTTTGGAATAGTGTGCAATTGTGAATCATTAATCAATGCTAGTATGCTACTAAATAGAGTTTGAAATTGTTAATCATCAGTCAATGCTACTAAATAGACATCCAACCGAAAA